CAGAGCGCGAGCGTTCTAGAGCGGCAGCCAAGGAAAGAGCGTGAGTAGGCCGGTTAGGGGCCGAGGCCCAGGCGTTCTGGATAGTGGAGCGGCAGCTAGGTCTAAGGGCCCACCTATTTTCGAAGCGAAAAAGCGCGGGACAAGGAACAAAATCAAGCACTTCCTTTTTACTGTAATAATGTGACTAGGAGAAGCAATTGAGAGTGAACATGGGCATTACCAAGCTAAAAGAGAAGGTCAAGGAGCATCAAGACAAGGTGATCGATCCAACTTACTTGACAAAGCACACCCAATCTGGGACACTAGTCTTCGCGTGATTTTACTTTTTCACATATGCAGTTTCACAGGGCCGCAAAGATAGCTGGAAGCAATCCTGTGGAGTGTATGGAGAATGCTGACCGTTGGATCGTCGGGTTTCTTGAGAAGTTTGAGGAAGGTTGCCACATGATGGTAATCAATCCTCGAGTAACTTATCCGCAGTTTGTCAGCACACTATTACTTTGCGATCATGAATTGTGTTCGGTTTGTTCATTTGACAGGAAACTGCGATTAAAGATCGAATTCGCGAGGGGCTCAAGAGGCAAGCCAAGTCGGAGTCAAACCTTTCTGGATCAGACTCAGATTCATGAAGATGTTTTGTATTCCTGTAGTGTGTAGTACAATGAGATTAGAATGCTGTTATAGCCTTGTCGGACATCTATTTAGAGTAGGGGATTGTGTACTATTTAGAACAAAAATATTTCAGGTGATTGATTAATCTTGTTCGATACGCAGTTGCTCATTTTGGACCTTACATCCTAAATGAATTGCTTGGATAAACTTGGATTTGCACGACATGTTCTTCATCTTATGAATATGTTTTGTCAACCTATGTGCTATTGCTAACAACCACCAGTTGTAATCTTCCCCTTTTTCTTTCATTTATCAAGATAGAAGGATATAAAATTTTCAGGTAGTACTGGATACTAATTGCGAAGACACCATTCATTTGTATAGTTTCTTCAGATTTAGATAAGCTAGAACTAGCCTATTTTCTGAATCCATGGTAATATATATTTTTATCTGAAGATTAAAGTCGGTGCACCAGGTGCAGGAATAAAGAACTTAATTTCAAACCTGCCAATTGAGTAATCTGTTTCTTCAGAGATGTTCTTTCAGGAAACAAATCTGATATTAATATTTATAGAAAACAGTACAGATTTATCAGATACAAATGAAAAACAAAGGAGATCCTAAATGCTTTCATCTTTGACCGGAGAACCTGCATAAGCCTGAACTTTCTAACACGCTTCACCGTTGGCACATCGGCAGGAGACACGCCGCAAGTTTTGCAGGCATGGGATCTGGTACCACCATTCTGTTTCGGAGATGTTGAATCAAATAGTACTTGTTATCTTGATTAACATTTCTACTATGAGATTAAATCAATTTCCACTGTATGTCTGAATATGCAAGAATTCGGCAGAAGCAGTTCACTAACATTCACCGTCAACTTTGTGTTTTGCATCAGAATGCTTGCTGTTGAGGAGACAGTTGCCCTGAATGATTTCATCGTCTCATTGCTAGGCTTCACCTGTGCCCTCGAAAATATATGTATACTCTCTGAAAAATAGTAGGAGTAAAATTTAAGGATGTCAACAAGCCATGCAGGAAAGTTGTGTGGTTTCAATAATTGTGTGTGTAATAGTTTGAGAAAAAACCACAGCAAAAGCTGATCATTCTAGTAGTTGCACAAGATTAGGAAGTAAGGAAGCATCCAAATATAATTTTATCTTATTGTTCTTCCTTCTATCATGATGTCACTAACATGAATGAATGCAAGGGGACAAAGAATAAGTCATGCAAACCAGACTCCGATTTTGGAGCTTCGTCACAACCAAGCAAGTTCATAAGAGCGATAGTAGTAACAGCCAGGCCAAAATATTTTATGGCAACAGAAGTGTTGAAAGAAATGAGAAGATGAAATGTGCATCAACCTCAAGCACCCAAATGCTTATAAGAGATTCCGCCGTGAACAATACAAATCCAATTAGATAAAGTACCTGCATTGCTTCAAAACAGACAAGAATTAAGGCCCACGGCAAGTTAGATCACTGAAGTTATGTTCATAGTTAACCATAATAATGTAATGCAGACGAACGTACCCCGACAAACATATCCGTGTTTAAAACATCGATAGCCACAAGAATTCCCCTGATTTCAGGTAAAGAAACAGTACTGAACTATTTCAGTTGGAAACTTAGCAAGAAAACAGCACTGTGGTTATTAGACTTACGTAAGAGTTTTCCCCATGAATATTATCGGCGGAGCAATTGCAGCAATAACACAAAATCCAACATGCACCTGGCACATATCAAACCGTCATTATGCTCATCTCATGTTACGGATGAAAGATTAATATTGAGAAAAATGCAATAGGATCAGATGTTTAGATTATTAGCATACGGAACTCAGCTAAGTGGATAAAACTACCGAGTAGAAGACGAAAAACTGGGCAAATGTCACCACGCTATCAGTTCTGGCTTACAAAACAAGAGAATCCAGTTAGCAAATTTTCATTTGCACAGAGCATTGTCTGAACAATTATTTACTTCGAGCTGGTCGTTAAAAAAGAAACCTCATGGCCTGGTACAGAGGTCTGTACCATAGGATGTATGAAAGAGGACATCCAAATGCCGCATAGATGATGGCAAGGAGAAAAAGAACAATATCTGCCATAAAAAGGATAAGAAAAAGATGCACACTGAAAAAAAAAATGTTCATGAGGCAAAATATTTAGCACCTTCCCCGTGAATTGATTGAACTAAGACAGCAAATACATTCCAACTGAGACATACAACAATTCCTGCAAAAAGAGCAGCCGATGAACAAGCGTGAAAACTATCAGCAATAAATCTCAAGTAATTGGAGAAAACTGTTGGAAGGTGAAGTACCTAGCCAGCTAGCAAATGCTGAATATTGCAACTGGTGAGCATGGGTTGGTATTTCATTGGCTATGTCATGATGTATGACGGGAAAGAATGGTGGCCAATTTTTCACTTCGATGGTGACACCAGCTGCACAAACAGATGCGTTTTTGAAAATGTGGTCAAAACATTAAACCATGATGGAGATGTAATGGTGATCTTGTAGAACTACCTCTGTTCATTGCATTCTCCCTCTGTATGATATCCTGCAAAGAATGAGAAAAAATTCTAAGAGTCACTTTTGAGCAAATTGGTTAGCTTCACATGATAGTTTCTTTTTAAAATATTCATCGACAGAAATGAACACCATAGGATTTGTATAAGTGAAAAAGGTGATCGAACCCGCTCCCTCCTCTTCAAATCCTCCTCCCATGATAAGAGCTCTTGCTCCCGCTTCTTCGGATCCTGCATGAATTGGACTTATCATCAACTGTACCAAAAAAAACTATATTATCATGTTATATGGACAACGAGTCATAGTATATATGTACATATAATGGTATGTCGATGGTGGCGTCATGCTTGCCACTGCCTCCAAAGCCCGCTGGGATCCATGATTTCTTTGCTGGAGCTGGTGCTGATAATTTCCAATTCTGAAAAACGCCGCAAATGAGCAAATGATATCATCTTGATACTTGAATAAATTCTTAGAAAGCGATATACTGAAATAACACCCTGCTTAGACTCAGGCCGCATACTGAACTAATGTACACTACTTCGAGTAAAATAAATAAATTAGTACACATCAGAAATTATCAAATCAGATATGACCAATGGAAATTCAAGATATAAGAGTTGAATGTTGCGACTAAAATTTCAACCTATCCACCGAAAGAAACCCTGAAGCCAGACCATAAGCAGAAACTTGTCATCATATTCATAGATCACAGGATAAATCTTCCTCTCTCTCTTTTTTTAGAAGATAATCTTCCTAACTAGGGCATTTTGATCTAGAGCAAGTTCTTGATTTGAGGAGAGAATGATGTAGGATGAACTGCGCATACAATTCAGAGGCTTATATTAAAAAAATCAATTGTGAGAGCCAAAATACAATATCATTGGAAAAGGCATGGATTTTCTGAACCAAAGTTGATCTGGACATGAAAACTCAAATGTTTGCAATGGAAATGTCTCATCAAAACCTGAACAAGACCAAGAAACATGGGAAGTCAGGAATACCGCGGTAGGATTGACATTCTCGTCTTCGAGCGGATAGGTGCTAGGAGACATTGAGAAGATCCCTAAGGCATGAATAAATCCCTGCGCTGTCTGCCTTTGGGATGGGCCAGACAGAATCTACTCTAAGTTGCGCATGACCAATCAAAGGTTATTTCCAGTTAATGGTGGCCGTTGGCACCTTGGCACCGGTCAATACTTTCCAATCTTGCCCCTAGGTCCGGCGTGCTTCACATATTTGTCTTCTTTTACGCTTCAATGTGGCAAATGCATGAATTTCAGAAGATACTAATTCGCGCAGAATTCTAGAAAATCCTCCATTCCAATTCAAGATGGGTGGTTGGTTTTGTCCTTCTAAGCAGTTTATGTCATGCACGTCACAGACAGCAAGGGGTTATAAAATGCTTTTGTTCCTCCTATATCCGCAACCAACATATGATTTTCCATAAACAATGGTCAGGACAACACAAAGGAACATCATACAGAGAAAGGGAAATGATCTCGATGGCCAGCACAAAGGAACATCATACGGAAAAAGGGAATTGATTTCAATGGCCAAATGTTCACTAAGCAGCTTCTAAAATCAATTTCATGTTCCTTCCCTCTCAACCCTTTTATCCAGAGTGCAGGGAGTTTGATATGGAAAGTGCATTAATTCAGCAAATGCCGACAAATGTCAGCTACAGAAAATCAATTCGAAGTTAATGCAACATTATTGTGTTACAAAAAGTAGGATGACAGTCACAGACAACATTTTGCCATCAAGCGCAATACACAGTACATTGGCATACATTGTGAACCCAATGAGCATGCAGCAACTCCAAATTCTGCTGTGGTAAAGGATGGTATCTTCTCTACTTAGTGATGGTGGTCTTGAACATAGCGAAGGCCGCAGTATTTGCACACAGCAGGTGCATCCAGATCAAGGCAGATGTACTCAATTGGATGGCCAAGGGCAGGGTTTTTATCTGTAATCCAAATGGAAACAGTCAGCTTTGCAGAAAATGCATCATCATGAGTATATCAGCATTCGCAAGCAACAGTGTGGCCAAAGCATGACAGTGACAATGTGTAAAGGTGGGAAGTGTTTGATTGATTTACCCCCTTCACATGCGGCAATTCGCCCTTCAACCTTGATTGGTGGCACCTCATTGATAAGTTCCATTGGAGATTTCTTGCTTGTGTCCTGCAATAAATAAAATGAAAGGTTTTTTTTATAAGTAGTGATGACACAACAAGTCAGAAAAAAACACCCAATGCAATCAATAGACCTCATATGTCAGCTCATTATGCTACTTAAGGTGTGAATATCACATGACAAACTCCTTAAACTGCTCTATCATGGCCTGAAACTTTTCCTGACTAACTGGTACAACAGTATAAACACAAATTTTAGTATCTTCAAGGATATTAAGATTCAAGAGTTCGATAATTTACTTTCAATGATGACTATCCCACAGTTCAAGCAACATTAGTTTTCAGTCTGTTCAACTACAGACTTCTAATCTACCTATAGTCCAATAGCCAGAAAAGCCTCAAAATAATACTGATCATTTGATCTTTACTTGGAAAATGGGAGAAACCAAAAGTCATACTATCAAAGTATGGTAAGACAGTGTTCTACTGATGCCAGTGGCATTATTATAGCAAAAATTCAATAGGAAGAACAGTTCACTATATCATACATCTTTAGCACTTGCAACCATTATTAATTACTCCCTCCGTTCCAAAATAATTGAAGTTCTAGGATATCCCTTAGTAAAACTTTTAAGTTTGACCAAGTCAATAGAAAAATCTAGAATGTCAAATATATATAATACGATAATATTTTTCATAATAAATCTAATGAAGCAAATTTGGTGTTGTAGATGTTGATATAGTTTTGTATAGACTTGGTCAGACTTAATAATTTTGGACAAACCTAGAACTTCAATTATTTGGAACGGAGGGAGTATATCTAAGATCCATCTTTTAATGCGAGGGAGAACAGTTTCACTTGATCAACAATAGTAGAAGGGAGAACTAGAGATGTGACAGTCAAACATCTGTAAGTCATGAAACGAAATCAAGCAATACACATCTCTTGGGAAGAACCTATCAATGGTCTGTCATGCTTCAGCCAAAGCTAAGGACACAAACTAGAAAGATACAATGTATAGAAATAGTAAAGTACAACAGGATGAGCTTGCATATTACAAAATAAGCAAAAGGATCAGAAGATCTCATCAAGCAAATGACTACAAAAGCTTAACCAGGGATAATCTAAGTCCACAAACGTTAAACCCACTGAACCTTCATTCATTTAAACTTCTTGTCGATTTCACAAGATCATCAGATATATTGGTAGCTACTCTCACAAAATGTCGATTTCACAAGATCAGAAGCATGCCGCCCTGGAGCGTCACAGTGCACAGCCACCGCCACGCCTTGGCAGGACCTGCGCTTCATCACGGCGCTGTGCTGGGCACGGCTGCGGTGGCTGGATGAGGTGGTTTCCTGCGGCGGCGGCTCCTTCGACGTGCAGCTGCTCCTCCGTGATGCAGCGTGGGTCCTGCCAAGGCATGGCAGTGGCTGTGCGGTGCGACGCTCCATGGCAGCGTGCCTCTGGTCCGCCATGCCAGCGGTGGCGGCAAGGCGGAAGGCTCCAGTGGGCCTGGATCTGGGAGGTCCTCCCACCAGATCTGGGTTTTGTCGGTCCTGTATGGCTAATGGGCCTGGGTTGGGCTCATCTGATGGGTCGCTGCGGATGGCGGGGATGGCAAGTGGCAGTTTGGTGGTCTGGCCGTTCTGTGCAGGCGGAGGGTCTGGCAGCGCCGAGCGAAAGCTTAGCTTTTGGTTGTTGGCCAAGGCAGGCGTCGCTTTCTTGAAGACGTTGTTGAGGCGCGGTGCAGGCTCTCCATCCAGACCACTCCAGGGGAAACCCTAGATCTGCTCGTGATCGGACAATAGTGGCATCATGCGCCATGCTCCCCCTTGGGGGCATCGTTCTTGGAGAAGTGACCGGCTGGAGGGACCAGTGGTTGCGTGAGGATGGTGGGGTCGTCACAGTGGTCGCCGCGGTGGCCGGTGGAAGATGGCAGTGTTGGTGACAAGGCTTTTGTGGCAACGATGATGAGGGTGAGAGATGTCGGGGTCGCGGCAATGGCTGCGGTAGTCGGCTCTTCTCCGGCATGTTCACGAGTTTGCCTCGGATTGTCTGTCATTCTGAAGTCAGAGCTGCGGCGTGGGGTGCATGTGGCAACGATGGTGGGTGGCAGGTGGTCTGTTCGGCGATCTTCTCTAGCGCCAGCCTAGCATATTTCTCCTTCATAGCTCTCCGTCAGAATCGGAGCTGCATTGTCCTCATCGCAGGTTGCTGGGTGATTGGCAGGATCTTCATGTGGCTTCGCACTGCCTCTATGGTGTGGCTTGGCTCGGTGGTCGTGTGCCGCTCAGCGGATTGTAACGGTTTTCACCTGGTTTTCTGTTAATTAACCGTGCAGTTCTCTTCTTCTTAATTAATGGATGAGGCAAATCTTTTGCCTCCGTTTCAAAAAAAATAAACTCACAAAATGTTGGTCTCATCAACTTGCTCATGTGTTTAGCTGTAGCTGCAGATTGTTTACATGACTCTGCTAGCTCATAACTGAAGGATGGGTCAACCAGAGGAATTGGTACAGTTGAATGTGCAGATTCATAGCTGTCAGTTGTAAGAATTCATAGATGCATCACCGTTCCTAACACTGTCAGCAAATTTATGACAAGACTCGGGAGTTCCAAACTGATCACATGATTACCATCTGAGAACGATATGGACCAAATAGATGCATCCACTCTTAACATGTGCCATCAACGAGCTTGCACTTATCAATGGCAAGTCGAAAGATGATAGTTATCCGAGACATCCAGATGTACCAACAAAACAGCTGAAGCCATTAGCACATACACCTAGCATCAAGCAGCCCAAACATGTCTCAAGGGAACATCCAGATTGACCTAAGCCAAATGGGGAGTCTAAAATTAATCATGCAACTACGCACCTAAACAAGGGCCACACGCTATACCGATCGCAAAAATCGCACGCTGGACACGCAAAGACGCGACCTTTCGCACCGGATTGGGCGGATCGCACGAGAAATGCGGTAACTTCTAGAGGCCTAGGAATCTGATCCAACCGGATCGGAATCTAGAGAGCGGAGACGAGGGGATGGGTACCTGCATCCATTTCGCGGTGTGGCTTCCAACGACGGCCGCGGCGCCGACTGCCTTCTCCGTGGCGAGGCCCCGCGCCGCGCCAGGGTGGCGGGTGCCGGTTAGGGTTCTGAGGAGCGTCGGGAGCAGCCTCCTCGTTGCGGTCGCCATGGCTGATGACGGGGGGAAAGGGTATGCAGGTCGGGTGAGTTTGGGAGCAAATGGAGACCAGTTCTTTTGCCCTGCAAATTTACATTTTTTGAGTAACTGCAAATTTACTTGTTTTCATAAAAAATACATGTAACTTTATTCACACTAAAAAGTCATTACAGGCAGACCTGGCCAAATGGGCCGGCATAGCCCGGGCTGACCCATTAACGTGCCTGGTATGGCACGGCCCACAGTAGCCCGTTTATAAATGGCTCGTGTCGTGGCGGCACGCGTGGTGGGGAGCACCTATGTGCCGCTTACAGGACGCCCCCCGAATGGGCCGGAAGTTTAAGCGAGCAATCGGTCTCACGACCGCGCACTTGTAGAGCGAGGCACCTAACCACTACGCCTTATTGATGCTTGTGGTGATATGGCAATGCGAATACCATAGAACTAGTCACATCACCAGATCCGGTTATTTTTTCCTTTTTCGATCTTTTCTTGTAATTTCTGAATATATTTTTTAAATGTAAGAACGTTTTTTACGAACACACACGAGTTTTAAATTTTTTAGCATTTTTTTGAATATGTAATAAAAATCTTAAAAAGGAAAAAATTTGAAGTTCTGGACAAATATTAAAAAACAGGACATTTTATAAATTACGATCAGTTTCGATAAAAACAGACAAATTTTTCGAAAAATGTGAACAATATTTTGAATTGTTGAAAAACTACAAATAGAAACATATTTTGAATTTATGAACAAATCCTAAAAAAATACGAACATTTTGTTAAATTCCGAACAAAAATTCACAATCATGAACAACTTTTGACAAATTGTGAACAATTTTTGAATTTGTGAACACTTTACAGAAAAGAGGAGCATTTTTTAATTTGTGAACAAATTCTGAGAACAGGAACATTTTTTAATTTGTGATTTTTTTAAACGAGAACAATTTTTTAAAATGTCATTTTTCTAAAAAAGTAAAACGTACCAAACAAAATTTGAAAAACTATCATATTTTGAAAACTGCAAACAATTTTTGAAACATGAACAATTTTTGAAACATTACATAAAAATGTTCTCAAACATGAAATTTGTTTAAAAATTCAAAAAAATGGTATATATTTTGAAAAAGTGCATACATATTTTGAATTTTTGAACATTTTCATAGACAAGAACATTTTTTTGCCTATGCGAACAAAAAATTTGAAACTGCAGAAAAAGTTTTTGAAAAACATGCACTTTTTTTAAATTGCGAACAAATTATGAAATTCTGAACAACTTTTTAAACCACGAATATTTTTTGAATTTTTGAACAAATATTTGAAGATGGAACATTTCATGAAATTATGAACATTTTTTGAAACAAAGCGAACAAATTTTGTTAGTTATGAATAAAATTTAAAAATAGGAACTTTTTTGTAAAAATGAACAAAATTTGTAAAATGCGGACATTTTTTGAAAAAGAAATCTGAGAAAGAAAAATGAAAATGAAAAAAAGAAAATCGGAGAAAAAAGAAACAAAAAAGAATAAGTAAAGAAAATTAACAGAAAAAGGAAACAAGGAGAAAAAAGGAAAAAAGATACAAAATAAAATAAAAACGAAAAGATAAATAGAAAAGAAAGAAACCTGGTTTAGAAACCTTCTAGAAGGTTCCCAAAACCGTAGAAAACCTGCTGGGCTAAAGGTTCCCAAAACCGGGAATGTTGTTGAAAGCGCTTAAAACAAGCAGGCCCAATACCACCTATCGGATCGACCGCCTGTGCGAACCTGCGACTTCTTGCCGCAGAGAGCGGCGAATAGGAAATCCCCGTGTGGTGCACTTCAGGAGCGCATCTAAGCGGGCTGCGGCCCACAGTAGTTCATTCCCTCGCTCGGCCGCTCGCTAAGGAGCAAAGTTCTTTTTTTTTGCGTCTTTTGTGCAGTTCATCCCGATAGGAACAAAACTGCCCAGTTTTTAATTATTATGAGGTAATATTGTGAAATCAAAAAAGGGTTAGAGATTTACAAAAAATAGTTCATCCATTTGAAAAGAAGTTCATCGATATTTGAAAATAAATTACCAATTTAAGAAAAGTTCATTAATTTTCAAAAACATTATCTATTTTGGAAAAAGTTCGTGGTTTTTCTAAAAAAGTTCATCAGTTTTGAAAAAAGGTCATCATTTTTTTTAAAAAGTTCATCGACTTTGAAATAATTTCATCAATTTTAGAAAAAGTTCATCTACTTTGAAATAAGTTAATCGGTTTTCAAAAATTTCATCGATTCATAAAAAAATCATAGATTTTCAAAAAAGTTCATCGATTTTAAAAAAAGTTCATCAATTCTGAAAAAAGTTCATCAATTCTAAAAAACAGTTCATCGATTTTCAATGAAGTTCACCCATTTTGAGAAAGTTCATTGATTTCGAAAAAAAAACATCAATTTTCAAAATAAGTTCAATAATTTTGAAAATTTTCATTTATTTGAGAAAAAACCATTCATTTAAAAAAAACATGCGCGTTATCTAAAATAAAGAAAAAGAAACGAAACGGAAAACAAAATAATAATTTGCTAATCTAAAATAAAGAAAAAGAAACAATTCGCAATTCTAAAATAAAGAAAAAGAAACAAAACGAAAAAAACGAAGAGTAAAAAGGGTAGGAAGTGTATATCTAAACGCAAGAGGTGCTGTTATCCAGGCGGTTACTGCATTTGTTCTAGAACTGGTGGGTCTGTTTTTTGTGCAGTTTTATTAGAAAAAAAGAACTCAGCTGGCCGGCCCAAGGCTGATGGTGGGTGTTCGCCGGTTTGCGAACAAGGAAGAATCGGGCGCATAAGGCGCTGTTTAGGAAATGCCCGTTCTACGGGAGCCCTATTTGTCGCTCGCACAAGGGCTAGGAATCAAAAACAGGACTGCAAGCTTGCATGAGCTAGGTGCCAGCCACTGCGATAGAACGAACCTATTGACCGAAATACAACGAAAATCTCTAAGAAACTAAGTACAGTTTCAGACTTAAGACAATTTGACAAAATCAGGATTTCTTTTTACAAATTTTGATTAACTTTTTGAATGTAACATTTTCTTTAACAAATGCAAACATTATTTATGAAAACAAAAAAATTGAATTTCCCAAACAATTTTCGAAAACATGAACATTTTTGGAGTTTGTGAATAATTTTTTAGAGCATGAACATTTGAATCTTGAGAACAAATTTAGAAACGGAAAAATAATTTTGAAGCGCGAACCATTTTTTAAAAGCATGAATTTTTTTTGAATCTGGAGAACAAATTTTGAAACAGTGAACAGTTTTTGAAAAATTCCGAACAAATTTGAAAGCACGAAATTTTTTGAATACATGAACAAAAAAATTGAAATCCGTTAGGTTTCTAAATTTCGAAAGCTTTGAACTTTTTTTGTGTAACGAGAACATTTTTTGAATCTGAGAACATTTTTTTTGAAACATGAAAAAATATTTTGAAAAAAATAGAAGAAAAGAAATGGAAAGAAAACATACAGAAAAAAAGAAAATAAAAAAACATAAATAACTAAAAACTCTGCCTATTTGTCTCAAATAGCCGGTCCCAAGCCCGGATCAAGGCGGAGGGTTGTGATAGACTTGGCGAGCCAACATAAAAACTCAGTCACTCTTATGGAGATGAAACCCAAAAGATTTTCGTTGGGGCGTAACCCTCTCAGCGATGCGCCACATCGATTTTTTTTTCTTTAAATGAGGGTTTTGGCTATGGCATCAGGAATCAAGAAGGAGAAGATGTTTTAAGCTTTGCTCTAGCCTACGACATGATTGTAGTCAACACCCTCTTTAGAAAGAGAGAATCACATCTGGTGAGTTTTAGTAGTGACCAACACTCTAGCCAGATTGATTTTATCTTCTCGAGAAGAGAAGATAGGCGGTCGTGCCTCGACTGTAAGGTGATACCTGGAGAGAGTGTTGTACCTCAGCATAAGCTGGTGGTTGTTGACTTTCGCTTTCAGATTCGTGTCCAGCAGGATAAGCATGCCAAAATCGCTAGAACGAAGTGGTGGAGGCTTAGGGGGAGGTAGCTTAGGTGTTTAAGAAGAGGGTCATTAAGGAGGGCCCTTGGGAGGAAGGAGGGGATGCGGACAATGTGTGGATGAAGATGGCCATTTACATTCATAAGGTGGCCTCAGAGGAGTTTGGAGTGTCCATGAGAAAGAGAAGCGAAGATAAGGATACCTGGTGGTAGAATGATGATGTCCAGAAGGCAATTAAATAGAAGAAAGATTGCTTCAGACGCCTATACCTTGATAGGAGTGCAGACAACAAAGAGAAGTACAAGATGGCGAAGAAGACCGCAAAGCAAGCTATCAGTGAAGCAAGGGGTCGAGCATACGAGGACCTTTACTAACGGTTACGCACGAAGGAAGGCGAAAGAGACATCTATAAGAAGGCCAAGATCCAAGAGAGGAAAATGATGGATATTGGCCAAGTCAAATGCATCAAGGACGGAGCAAACCAACTCTTGGTGAAGGACGAGGAGATTAAGCATAGATGGCGGGAGTACTTCGACAAGCTGTTTAATGGGAAGAATGAGAGTTCTACCATTGAACTGGATGACTCCTTTGATGAGACTAGCATGTGTTTTGTGTGGCGAATCCAGGAGTCTGAGGTCAAGGAGGCTTCAGAAGGATGAAAGGAGGCAAGGCAATGGGCCTTGATTGTATCCCCATTGAGGTGTGGAAAGGCCTTGGGGACATAGCGATAGTATGCCTAACCAAGCTTTTCACCTCATCTTTTGGGCAAACAAGATGCCACAAGAATGGAGACGGAGTATATTAGTACCCATCTTCAAGAACAAGGGGGATGTTCAGACTTGTACTAATTACCATGGAATTAAGCTGATGAGCCATACAATGAACCTATGGGAGAGAGTCATTGAGCACCGCTTAAGAAGAATGACTAGCGTGACCAAAAATCAGTTTGGTTTCATGCCTGGGAGGTCGACCATGGAAGCAATTTTCTTGGTACGACAACTTATGGAGAGATACAGGG